TGTTTAAATTTAACTGAGCATATAAATATTATACACTAACGATTTTACCAAATGGTAAGACAACTTCAGTGCTATTTAAGATTAATATTTCTATTAAATTCCTTGTTTTTAAACAAATTTGTTAAGAAATAGAACCACTATCTTTTTTTCGAATTCTTTCATAAGTAGATTCATTTATATATCATGCATTTGGTGTTACGAGATTTAAATTTTGTCGTGATGATGAAAAGCATAGGTCGGGTTTTATGGAGAAGTGGTTCACTGTAATTAAAAATTATTCCCCTGTTTGGATGAGCCAGATTTAGAAACTCATGTGATTGGACATTGCAGCTATTTCAATTAAAATTATGTTACCTTTAGTTAGCGTGTAAAGAATTTTGAAGCTTAATAAACTACTGCTTGCAAAAAATTCATCGATGAAAATCCTGTTGATGATTAAAAAATCACTATTAGTAACCAATAAAAATAAAATATCAGTAATGATTTATATATCCTTTATGTTGTTTTATGCAATTCTTCAAGATATATGTTTGAAAGACGCTTTCTTTGAATCCTTGTACTGGAGCATTTCATGTATAATTTTGTTAGAGGAAATTTGAATCAGAAGTAACTGATGTGAATAATTGTACAGATGAAGTTTTTCGATGCCATATATCTAACAGTCAGTTCATTTCCGCTAGTTGTGAATATTGATTTATTATTTTTCATCTGTATTTACAATAATTTTTTCTGTTTCTATTATTTCTTCCTTCTCTATCTGCTTTTAATGCTTGTTACTTGCCAGATTGATTGCATAAATTACACGTTGTAATAGAAGAGTCCCTGCAGTTAAATATATCAAAACTCAATAAGAGGAATTAATTTAAAATATATGCTACATCTTAGGCTGTCCTTCAGAACTTGACATGAAACTGAAATACTCAGTTTTCATACTGAAAAATCACCCGATATTCCATGTGGAATGCACAATTCGAAATGAAATTCTAGAATACCCTATTTTTAAGTTGAATTTATTCCATTCCAAACGTAATAATTTGAGATAAATTAATTATAAAAACTAGGTGATTGGCGACCAAATAGGCTAGAAGATTTGCAACGTTAATTTGTCGGCTATTGACTATTAGGAAAATACATTTCAAAGTTTGCATGATTATGCTTTGAACTCAAGTCAACATGTTTGCTCTTTGCATGACGATAAATGGAAGAAGTCTCATTATTTTAAGACGTTGAGCAATCCCCTGATAACTTATTCTGTACTTTCTTCCCATATTTTTTAATTTATGGAAGAAGATACTTTTGTTTTTTTTCTTCACTGTTTTCTCCTTCGACTCACTTTTTTTTTCTATAAGATCATCCTAAGTAACATAACATGCAATTCGACAAATTCTATGTTATGTGGAGGTTGGGAATTAGTTTCTCCACTTGAATATTTCAGTGAAGAAGAAAATAATGTAAAAAATTTTGGTATTTTTTATGCAGTTTATTTTCTTAATGTTAAGTTTGAAATCAGTAATTTCTTCTGCCATTAGTGAGCCTGAGGCTAGTCCTCATGAATCTGAAATTTTTAACAAATGAAAAAAAGTTGGAATTGTACCAATGTGCCCATTAGGTTTTCTTTCGGGTTCCACTCAGCTGACTGTCATTTATTCTCAAGAAATTACTTTTGCATTAAAAGTTTTCAAAATCGTCGTGCATATGGATTTGAGCCGAGATTCATATTATTACTGGAATGGTGAGTAATAAATAAAGTAAAGAGAACTGAAACATTTTTCACTCCCTGTGATTACAAATTATTTATTATAATTACTAAATTAGTGAACATTAGTGCTAGAAATAACTTTAATGGTTACAGAATCACGATAGTCTTTACTATCATTTGACGAAGGACATAGGTATAAACCAGTAACCATAATTACACTTTAAATGTACAAAGTATAATTATTATGTTACAGTACAATTATTATGCTATTATGTTAATTTTACTTCTATTTCAAACATAGAAGTGAAATTTACTATATGTGAATATCGAATGTTCTGAATGAATTGATATCATCAGTCGTCAGCTTGCTACTGTTTGCTACCACTTAAATCCCACTTCTTATATTTTTCTAAGGTTTTAAACAAACACTTCCTTTTTAAATATGGACACCAAAAACTTTTTTTGAAAAGAAGCTGCGAAATTTATCTGTGATTCAAAGCTTCATCTCCGTTTCTATACTGTATAGAAATCTGACTTCATCAATTATCCATCAGTTATCTGTTTTCCATTTCATTTATCAGTTTCAGTACGGTGGTAGGCTTTCTTAGGCATGCTCTGCAGATCACCATAGACGGAATATCCCACATGTTTTCTTCGCAACTATTACACAGAGTGAATTAAGTGTAGCAGTAGTTCATATTGTGGTTTATCTTACAAAATCGTAGTAAATCCAAAAAGATAAGCCATCCACCCACAGTGAGCTCTAGTTCAGATGGCCACTCGCTAAAAATGCTTTACAACAAAGTTAATGAGTTCCAAAACACTGAAATATGAATTTAGAGTATCTTCAAGACAAAAAATAAGTGCATAAAAGTACAAAAGAAACTGCTTTAGCTAAGAAATTCAAAACTCAATTTTTTTGGGAAAAACCGAAAATCCAATAAAATCTCTTGCAAACTTTGACGATCAGTTTTGGAGAATTGGTATCAGAACTCTGTAAATCTATAAATTTGGTTGTAGTAAAGTGGCTGGCTTCTTTTTGAAATGACCGATATTGAGTGAATTATGGGCCAAATAGCAAAAACCAATTTATAACCTTTGTTTTCAAGATTATATGTTAAGGTAAGAGTCTTGTATGAGGTGATTATTTACTTACTGCAAGCTAACAAACTGATTTGTTTCCAGTTTCTTGCGTAATGTAGGTGCACAAGAAAGTACAAACTCTCACATTTTTTAATAGGTATTTAATTTAGACATAAATGCTTCAAAAGATTTCCTGCAAACATTTCTTTCAATCCCAAGTAATTGACTATTATCAGAATCTTAATATTTAACGCAGTAATCAATGTTCACAAAGATATTTGAAATTCAAATCGAAAACAACCCAGTTAAAATGCATTTTATTTACTTTGGGATGTTTTCACTGCAAAAATGTATACTTTTATGCTGGTAACTACATCTAATTGAGTGGTCTGTAAAAGCAAATTCCATTTCTTTAATAAAGCAGACTTAAGTTTCGAAATTTTAATATGAAAATCAGCTTCTTCTTCAGCAGAAAGCTGATTAATCACCTACCAAAAACTGCCTTTCCTAGTTATTCGAATCCTAATTCATACAAGCATACCTGAATAAAAAAAAACTTATGAGCCAAAAGTGTCAGATCATGAATGCCTCTAAACTCTTTTAAAAATATAATGGATATTTTCCGAATAAGCACTTGAGCAATCTCAGATTTGAAAAAAACGAAATGTGCCAAAATTTTTAAAAATGGCAAATGATTGTTATTTCTATGAATATAATTTTGTTTTACTTTACTTACTATTGGGAATAATGTCTTTCCCCAATTGCAATAAATAGTGTTCATTCCTTAATTTTCTTTTCCACCTTTTCTTTCCCAACCAAAAAATGCATCCCAAGCATAATGTGCTATCTAATTATGAGCATCAAAACTCTCATAATTCTATTATTTCTCTATGTATTTGTAGAAAAAAGTGTCTCACTTGTACTTCGGGTAAACAAGACATTATTGAGACATAGAATATTTCATTCCTTGAGCATTTTTGTGCATTTCCTGATTTGTACGATTTGTAGTATTCAATTTCCAAGATATAGAAATGGTTCAATCATAATAACAAGGTTAAACTCTGTATGGTTAAGAATATTTAGAGTTTCAGTGTATTCTGACAAATGAAGAAGATTAAAAGATGAAAGGAATGAGTTTGGTCAAAATGATAAACAACATTTAGGATACGAAGCCGTGCCCAGCAATAAATTTTGCTTCCATCCCTAATAAATCATCTTAACAAATGTCAAGTTTGAATTCAGATATAGACAGGAAGAGACGGAGAAACAAGCATAGAAAAAGGAGCGGACGAAGCGATGCACAAAATCATTTATTATTAAACATCAATAGTCAAGCGCCATGGTGACAAACAAAGGGAAGTAATGGATCAACTTGGTTTTACGGGCGTTTAGGATCAAACATACTTCTGGGAATCATTCAGGACTCTATGTGGTGATATAATCTCAAATATACCAGTGGTTCAGGGTGTATCAAATAATTATTGCTTCGTTAGGCTTAATGAAGGTATTACACTGTTCTCATTGATCGTAGTGATAATAGATTGTCTCGAACTAAAGAATACTGACAGCAAATAATACAGTGCCAAATCAATACCTTACACTGGTCATAAATATACCTTCTCTGTGTTTCAAGAACCATAAAGCGATATGTTTTTAGTGAATTAAGCAACAAGTTTTTCATCTATTTTCCATCTGCTAATTCAAGAAATAAAATTAGTACTTTGATGTTACACATCACATCCAAAAACTAGTTTAATAACTCACTGTTCTTTTTGAAAAACTTGTTTTTGAAAAAATAATAAATGTTCATGTACAGACAGATAGCTATGTTAATAGCGAAGCCCTTGCTTTGAGCTTGTAACTTTCTCAATAGTTTTTATTTTAAAAACAATAATAGGAATAGAAAAGCAGAAGGAAACGAACAAAGAAGAAATGGAACAGCATTCAGAGCTGTCATCATAAATCTTCAGCGAATTTTATAAATGCAGCGAATTCTGCCCTCATAAATCGTTCCCTTTTCGCAAACGACAGCCCTAAGCCATCAATCAGTCTGGTTTTGGTGTACACCGTTTTTTTGAACTTGCGGCATAGTGCTATATGATTAATGAGTCCACTCTTCACATGCTTGTCTCCGAAGATGGATTAACCAAGAAATAACTCTGCATCACTGTGATGTTTGCTCCAGATTACTGCACCACTAATTAAGTATCATTTAATTATGCATTTCAGGTCACGCTCTTTTGAAAGAAAAGATCGAGCTGCCTGCCTTTTTTGTGGACTATTTCTCATTGAAGAGTAAGTATTGGAATACCTGATCACTTGGTATTGTCCATTAGCAGACGATGTCTCTTAGAAGCATTATTCCTTGAAGCAATTAATGATTATTCACACTTATATAGCATTGAGGTATACATTATTAAATCATAAATTGGAAGCCAACAGAGTTAATTAAATCAGTAAGCGAAGAAATTGTACATAGTTACTAAACATTTAATTTGTTTGCTTTCAATAAGTTTTAGTACGTCAAAACTGATGATTAAAATATAACCGGTAAACCACCAAATAGGTTTTGGCACAGTAGGAGGTACACACATAGCACTCTGCTTCTCTTAAGAATCAACTTTTTACATTATACCAGATGATAGCAAAAAAATTGACGATTCACAGTAATATACTGATATCAATTTTTATGCGCAGTAAACAATTTCATTTCTTTTACAGTGTGCAAAACGATGGGGAAGTTCAAGGTCTGCTTTTGCTTTTTAAATGGCAGCGATGTGTAACGCTAAAACTTATCAGGATTCTATGGACGTAGTATCAACGACTTACGAATTCATTGAAATGTAAATAATTAATGACTTCGAAAACCATTTTAATTTAAAATCTGGGCCTCTTATCAATTTATATTGAGATAATGCATGACAGATAGGTCTATGAAAACACTGAAATTGTAACAAAACTCTGGGTTCCATGGTATGAAGAACAGAAGAGGTGACATTCTGACCTAAAAGATATAACATTCATCATCCACTAGCAAGTTTACTAGAGTCATATTAAAGTTAATGATTGATCATTCTAGATAATGATCATTATGCTGGAACGATTCAGACAGTAGGGCAATGGAATTGGCCGAATACGGATCATTAATCAACAGTCAGCAGACAAATTTAAGTCTGAAACATCTATGATGCAAATTTCCTACTTAATTTTAGTATTGCACAAGGGACCGATTAATCCTGAAAAAAACACTCCATATATTTATTAAAAACTCTTCTAAGCTTAAATATTATTTCAGTTAGAAAACACCGATAATGCCACCGAGTTAATACAGAATTATTCCTTCAAATAAAATATGTAGAGTCCTTAATCACTGCAATTTAATCACACATAACGTGCTGTATAACCATTTGCAAATTCCACAAACCGGAATAGCTAGTCGAGATGGGAAGAGTCCGCTTGGATTTCGCGAATTTCACGCAATTCAACAAATGCTATCAATTGCTGCCTGCTAACATTAAATGATCAGAACCATCGACATCACATGTAGCAACAAGCTGAGTGTGAGAGCTGAGACAAAGCGCCTTCTTGAGGTTAATTAGGAAATATGCCGAACTGAACAGTAAAACAGTTTATTTGAAAACAACACAGTAACTGTCCCCAATCACTTAAATAAATTGTTTGCAGGTCTAATGAATGCTGAACTAGAGAAATTTATCATACTGCTCTATATTACCTGTTCAGAAAGTAAATGAATAATGAATACAGCTATAAGAAACCAAAAGAAAACAAAAACAGGAGCAGTACTGTAATGAAACATAAGAATAAATCTTCACAATACTCCAAATTACCTTCTGCAGTCTACTGATGGGAATTTATATACAGAGCATTGAGATTCCAAGCCAAAATTATCACAAATTCGTGAACCATTGTCTCGATATCTCACATATAAATGCACAATCATTTATATAACAAATTATATTATACATTTTTTATACAACCACATCATGGAAAAGCGCAATTTATTGTTATTCAGAACTGAGAAATTCGTCAGAAATCCCCACTTAACAAACTTTGGTATAAGAAAAAGAATATACCACATTAGCGTACACCGTATTAATATTGAAATATATTAGCACCTAAATATTGAAACTTCTATAAAATGCTTTATAGTCATCTTCAGCTTTCTGCTTGGCAAAATTCTTATAAAACACGGAACTGTCCTAACTTTTCAAGTTGGGTATTTCATACTGCTCAAAGAACTGTAACTATTAAGCAGATCATTTGCGTTTGTTAGCCAAATTCGTTATAAATTATGTAAAGACCAAAATGACGAAAATATTAACGAAAAGAATCAATATCAGAATTTTACAATTCCTATTTCAGCAAATTAATGTACGAATGTGCACTAAAAAATTAAGAAAACATCGAAATCCACATTGAATTTTTTTTTATCTTGAAATTAAGAAAACACCGAAATCCGCATTGCATTTTATGTTTGACTGCAACAATATAGATGATATAAGGTTAGATTATTATCTCAACAAAATAAACATTTAAAATATGAATCTAATGCAATTAATATATGTTATGAAATACATGTTACGTTATACTATTTTTCTGACCAGTGTTGCCGTTACGTCCAACAGACGGCAGAATGAGAGCATCACTGCCATCAACACTTACCTTCATTATATTGGTTGCATATTTTTTAGTTCAGAAATAAATGGAAAATTGGGGAATTTCTCTCACACACAGTTATCTTACGAAAAAAGTTGTGCAAAAACAACAAAACTACTTTTTTCATAAAATAAAGAATTTGCATCGAGGACTATGTTAATTTCCCAAAAAAATTTTGCACACAGTAAAACTGGTCCATTACCTAGATCGCCAATTTCTTGAAAGATTGCTCCCTACCAACCAAACTGATGTTGTCATGAAAAAGCTGATAGAGAAAATGATACATGGTCAGTGATAAAAGTACTGTGATGATAAAAACTACCTACAGGAACCAAAGCGCGAAAAATGACCGGTAGTTTGACAAAACTCAGAAACTAAGCTTTTCACAAAACTGCAGTCTAATAACAAACAGGAATAAGACTAGGACTCAGAGCAGAATTTAGTAATGCCAAAACTAAGTAAAGACTTCCCTTACTATACAATCGTCAATCAAAACCTAAAAATTTCGATGGCGAAATAAAGCCCAGAAAAATACAGAAAATTGTGGACATTCCCATAATATATATTCACTTCAATCATTCTGTTAGTGAGAGCTTAATAATTCGCAATTTTAGGTAGGTTACTTCAGTATTTTCCCTAAATTATAAATAAACATTTTAGCATTCAAATATGGAAAAATTAGTTCAAATTTAGCAACAAATACAACAAAGTCAATGAATGATTATATTTCAAAAATAATGCGTAACAACTATCCAATCTGATCCTGGAGGAGCAACAAAAATCAATCAAAAACATGCATGATTACTTGACAATTTTGACTACTTCTGCATTTCTTGTCGAATATGATTTAAGAATTCGACATAGCTGTGGGATGATTCTGTACGATCATCAATCAGACGCCCGGAGAATAAACTGCGTACGGGGCTATCCTCTCTGGAAATGTTCTCAAAATGAAATTCACTCCATTCAACGTAATAATAACGAATTAGTCAAACTCTTTTTCTTTTTTTTCTTGGCAAGTGGGAAGCCTAACTTCTCAGTCTAATGCAGACATATTTTAGAATTTTTAAGAAGTGTTCCCTATCACCAAATTTCAAAATCTGCTAAAACTAATTTGCAAATAAACATTAACTTAGAATTGTCTTGAAGAAAAATCTGAAAAAAAAAATGGAAAAATTTAAATAAAAAAAGCCAATAAATCTCCTAAAGAAGACAAAATGAATAAAGCAAAAAGAAAAACAGAAAGAATTTTTTAGCAAAAATTCAAACATTACCGTATTAGTATCACAGGAGCGAACACAGACCGATAAATAGAAAGTTTACGAAGAAAATTGTGTACCCTATTACTAAATGGGTTGTCAAGAGCTTCAAACGGACCCTGTAACAAAGAAAATGTTTATAAGTATCCTGATGCAATTCTAAGAAAGCAATATTAGTTCTAGAAAAGATGAAAAAAGGACCAAAAAACGAAAAAAATTGTCGTTACAACTTTTTAAAAACATAATACTAAATAAACTTGCTTCATCATCAATTCTTTCGAACGTATTAACACCAAATAAACGCTTTATAATGCTTGCTTCAACATTTGATGAAATATATACATAAACATATGAGCCTGTATCCAGTAAATATACACCATTTCGATTAATATGTTCGAAAGAGAGATGTAACCTTGGTGGATCAGTTTCATTCTATAAAAAATAAAAAAATCGTAAAGATAACATAAATCTTAGTACTAGAATTTACCTTGATATCACTGATTATTTCAAAGCAGTTCATACAGGAGCTTTTTGAAGCTCAACTTAGAAGTTCATAACGAAATTAAAGAAGTTTCTAGACTAAATCTGGAAAAACAATTCCATAATCAGCATAGTTTTAACTAAAAAAAGTAACTAAATTTAAACAAAAAGACACTTCAACAAAATGATTGAGTTCATATAAAGCAGGATACAGCTCTAAATCGATCACTTCTAATGAAGCACTGCGAAATAGAAGAAGAGCAGCCACACGGCTGTCTAATCTAATAGACTGTCCTGCTATGAATGCTCGCTGAAAAAAGAAATACTGTAGAAAACAAATGCTGTGCCAACATACCAAATTTAGGAATACTGCAAAATATTTTTAAATATCAAATTAACGGAAAGATACTAAAGTCACAAGATGAATTGGAATAACAATCCAAAAGACTAACATACGCTGCATAACCAAAGTTACCATTACTGATCACCAGTACCGCAACTAATGATATTTTACATATTTCAACTAATTATATTATATCATATGGTAGCAAACCTTCCGGTAAGAAAGTAAACAAAAGCAGGCTATATGGAAATCTTAAAGCAGAGGGTAAGGATAATTGTTACAAAAGCACTCGGTTATGGTCAATTTCATATGAATATTTGGTTGTAAAACAACTAACATGTTTAAGCATGCCTAACACATAGAGTGGTAACAAACGTATCGAAGTAACTGGTGATAACATACAACTGGTACGATCCATACGCGAAACAGCAGAGTTGTAAGCACCAAATACATCAACAACAGTATTCACCATTGCTTCACGAGAATCTGTCAAACTTGCACCCATAAAGGTGCGTTCGACCGCTTAACATATTAAAACAGATATATGTGATGAACATACAGTTCCAGTAATCCACCATCTTGTAAGCAGGATCAATAATTGCCTAACATCTGTTCGCATTTTAAAAATAGTGTCATATAATACATTTCAAATGAAAGTTGTAATGTACATATCACATGCTTCTTCATTATCGCTAGGTTTAAGGCAAAACGATTAGCAACGATACATCTGTAATGTGGTTGCGGGTAATTTATTATTCAGTAATTTAAAATCATTACCCATTTTCGAAAGAAGAGATATTGCACATTTTACATCAAACTGACTGAAAATAGTGGACAGATCCTTCGTTACCGGTAAACAAAGCGTATGAATTCGTATTCGTCTGTCGCCTAAAAAATACGCAGAGAATTAAAGAGAAATGGAGAAATTAGTGAATCATTATAGATAGTGATTCAGTAATTTCAATGTTATAACTGACCAGCTGCACAAGCAATCCGACGTCACATCAAAAATGTTATGATTCTATGAATAAAAATAAACACTTTACAAATACTTAA